AAAAGACAATTTGCTGTCCTCCAGAAGTTCTTTGCTTAGAGCAGAAGATTTATTTATTGCCACTATACAGCACAATGTCAGAATGCAAATCCAGTGTAATGCATGAGCATCTCTGATAGCTACATATGTCCCCTAAATTACAAAGGATTCAGACAAGAAAACAGGCAGCTACACTTAGTTTGAGGTTACTAAAAACCAGGGGGAAAAATGATTCAATGAACATTACAAATATTTTACTACACTTGAATTCCCTACTATACCTTGTCAGGGAAGAATAGGTTGGGAACCTGTTCTGCAAGAGGTGAGGAAGGAAGAGAAAAATGTGAAAAATCTGGTTGGGGAATACTTCCTGTATTAGGAAAAAAGCTTGGTAGTCCATTTTGTGCTGCTATCACAGAATACCTGGCTCTGGTTAACATGAAGAAAAAAATGGACTTGTCTCCTAATTCTGGTGGTTATAGACCATCCAAACAGCATGGCACCCCCACCCCGTTGGGTTACAACATAGCAGAAAAGCTTAAAAGGGAACCTGCTGCATTCAAAGGGGCAATGTCCTCAAGCAAGGATTTTGACTGGGGAGGGGCCAGACTCTGTGTTTTACAGCCACCCACCCTAAAGGAAATGACTCCACCCCCATGAAACAAGCAACAATCCCTTCACATGGGCAGTTGGGACCCTATCACCTCTTAAACGCTTTATGCCATCTCTCAGCATGGCCATGCTGGGAATGATGTTTCTTGGATAGGAAACAGCAGGAGACACATTTGAACCATAGCTTAACTACAGCAGTGAACCTGTCAATATTCCAACCTCATTCTTCAAGGAAATAGAAGAGGAATCCAAAAATTCATATGGAACAATAAAAGACCCCAATAGCAAAAACGAGCTGTAACAGAAAGAACAGTGCTGGAGGAATATCAATACCAAATTTCAAACTCTACTACAAAACCATAGTAATCAAAACAGCTTGGTACTGGCACAAGAACAGACCCCAGGACCAATGGAATAGAATCGAAAACCCAGGAATGAACTCACAGACCTATAGCCATCTAATCTTCTATAAGGGAGCTAAAAAAAATAGAATGGAAGAAAGACAGCCTCTTCAGTAAATGGTGCTGGCAAAATTGGTTAATCACTTGTAGAAAACTAAAGCTAGATCCTTATATATCACCCTGCACAAGAATCAACTCCAAATGGATCAAAGACCTCAGAGTCAAAGTAGACACTCTGAAAACATTACAGGACGGAATAGAATAAATCTTAGGTCTCCTTGGCACAGGCCGAAATTTACTTAATAGAGACCCAGAAACACAACAAATCAAAGAAAGGTTGGACAAATGAGATTGCATGAAATTGCAGAGCTTCTGCATGGCAAAGAACATAGCTAGCAAGATCAATAGAAAGCCCACGGATTGGGAGAAGATCTTCACTAGCCATACAATGGACAAGGGTCTCATATCTAAAATATACCTGGAACTCAAAACATTAAATCCCCCAACAACAAATCCTCAAAGGAACAACTGCCCAATAAATAAGTGGGCTAAAGACTTAAAGAGAAACTTCTCTGAAGAGGAAAGAAGGATGGCCAATAGACACATGAAGAAATGCTCAATCTCCCTAGCCATAAAAGAAATGCAAATCAAAACAACATTGAGATACCACCTCACCCCAGTTAGAATAGCAGTGAAATTTGACTTCTTCACATATCTTCCGATATCTCCAAATTGTGTCATGGAAATACTCCTGAGGCCTCCAGCCTCTGGTCACAGCTCTTCAGTGTCTCTTTATTCAATCCTGTCGTGACTCTGCTCAAAATGAACTAGTCTCAGCACTGGGCAGCTATAGTGGGGGATTTCAAATGGACTTATACATGAACACCTTAGCCAGCAGAGTGAAGGTCTGAAGGCGAATTTGGTAGGACTCATCCCCAGAGAGCATGACCTTTACTCATAGTCCTTCATTGGACTGTATTTCCCTTTCCTTCATGTAAACTTGGACTGGAATACACAGAGGAGCTTAAAATCAACTTTTCTAATCTCTCATCAAATGCCTTGTAAACCCCAGTAGTTATCAGTCCTTTCTTTCCTTTCTCTGCTATGGGTGTTCTGTCAATTCAAGAGCCTTGTCTCCTGTGCAGAAAGGCTAAGCAAACCTGGGAGACAGAGAAATAGAGATATAGAGAACCAGATGCTTTCATACAGAGGTCAAATACATGTGTGTGTACTTGAACTGTTATATTAGTAAAATAAATTCCCTGTGAGTAAAGATTAAGTCATAGACAAGCCAGGCTTGGGTCTCTTGCTGGAGTTATACACACTACTAACTCCCAAAAAAAGCCAGGAAAGAATCCCTTCTGTAGGCTAGGAGGTTCCATTCACTGAATAGAAGATTCTTTCTTCATCTATTTCTCCATCCATTCTTCTATCCAGTAATCATTTACTGAGCATTAAATGCATACTAACTTGTCACATGCTGGAGATGCAGAGAAATGAGGAAGGTGTTTTCCAGAAATACAGTCAGAAAATGGCGATGGTCATCAAAAATTGTACTTATTTCCTTACTTATGTAACTTTATCTCCTCTATACATCGCTTTTACAATAAAATTTTAAAGAAAACCTTCAATGACAAGCTAATGTAATAACTGCTTATCTGAGAAATGCAAAATGTCTTTTGAGAATTTAATGGACAGGGAAACTTTAATGATGACAAAGGCTTTTCAGAGGAGATGTAGAATTTGTTTATGTCTAACATTTTACTCCCCTTGGACTGATATGGTTGGGCTCTTCTAGACATGTGCACACAAGTTGTGAGGAGAAGTCGAGTAGGATATTGCTACTTCTGCCCTAAAGAACTTTGCACTTCCCAAGTATGGTCCTGAAACCAGCACCAGCATTTCAGCCATTAGACTCACACAAGGATTTTCCAATGGGAATCTGCATTTGATCAAGTTACACAGGTGACTGATATGTGTTAGGGTTAACAGTTAGGAAGCTCTGGTCTACAAGATAAGGAGAACTTCACCTCTAGAAATTAGACTTCTGCAGATTTGTTCTTGAGGTCAAAAGTCCTTGGTACTTTTTGACAAAGGACTTGATAAACCATCTTCTCTACATGCTTATTTTACAATGAAGAACTTGGGGTCCAAAGAGATGCTTACGATGGCCATGTAGAGAAGGAATGGTGTGACCCTGCTGTTGACCACAGCTGGTTCTGCACAGAGCCATTGTATGCAAGACTGAAATGTCAACCTCAGGGTCCTGTCAAAGGATTGTAGAGACTATAGGGAAATAGTTACTCAATAATAAATAGTTACTTAATAAATAATGATGGAATTGAGCAGAGGCAGAATAGGATTAAACAGAACATGACCTGAGAATTTTTTAATGAAGTGCTTTATCAGTGCTATACTTTATTTTCCATCTCCCAACCCTCACCTGGCCTGAGGTACCCCCCCTTGACAGTCCAACACCCTCTCTCCTATCTTTGAAGTTGAAACTACAACATATGAACTACTTTCGGAAATAATTAGAAGTGTTTCTCGACTTGGTTGTTCTAATAATTTCTACTTCTTTTAGATGAAATAAATAAACCCAGATACTAGAATTCTTGACACATGAATTCAAATAAGGAACTATGTCTAGCTGTTAGGCTGGAATACAGTGGTTATCAAATATATCACTATTGGTGAATTAGGAAGATACAGCCTCCATTAGAATCTAAGTTCTCTTTGTCTCCTAAGTCCTCTTCTCCATGCTATCTTCTGTCCCTATATACTTCTTTCACTTGATTCCTTTAAATGTTCTGCTACCGCAGAATACATTTTCTCTTGAAGAATGACCCTTTACGCACAGGACTTGTGAGAAACGGCCTGGGCCCTACTGCATTGTCAGGCCCTGGATGTGTCCTAGCACCCTCGCTGACACAGCTGCTATTATAGTCATGTGTGCCCCCCCCCCCCGGGCCCCTCCCAACCCCTCCCTGCTCTGCTCTCCAGGCCTTTGTCACAGCCTTTCTAGAACTCATCAGCTAAATCCCAGGCCAGCAGACAGTTCTTCTGCCTTGGCCAATTTGAATGCCTGCTGCCTGTGAGATTTCCTGAGACTCTTCAGCTGCCACATTAAAACTGCATGAGAGCCTTCTCAAGAGGCCTAATAATAGCACGTTTCATCTGTGAGCCACTTTATAAACATTAACTGATTAAGCTGCCCTCACTCCCCATAAGCCCTGAGCTTCTGTGTAGTGGACTTGATTTTTTACAGACTTTAAATTGCTCCAAGAGAAACACACACACACACACACACACACACACACACACACACACACACACACACACACACCCCTGGAATCTGAAAGCTCTTATATGGGTATAAACCATGATTAATTCTACTTGTGTGATAGCATGGAAGCAGGTAAGGATTTAAATCCATGTTTATTTTAAAGGAGAATGCCAGAGAAGAACTTAGCTCCATGGTCTCAGACAAGGTCATTGAATTATAACCTACCATCTGTCTTTATAAATAAAGTTTTATTGAGACATGGGCCATTATGCATTATCTGTGGCTTCTTTTGCACTGCATTATCAGTCAAGTAGTTGCAACAAAGACCAAGTGGTCCACAAAACCAAACCAAAATGTACTTACTATCTGGGACTGAAGAAAAGATTGCTAAGTCCTGGTCTAGGGAACTTACTGTTTGTTCTGATCTTGTATGTTTGCTAAATATGGCTAGACAAATCTCTCTCCCCTTCTCTGGGCCTCAGTGTCTACATCCACAGACAAATAATCTCTAAATTGCGCCATTGCCTTGAATTGTTCTCCCACTGTTCTGTAAATATTGGCATCTAGTGTGTTTTTTCTTGTTATTATAGCTGACTCCTTTGAGGATAGGAACAAAGTTTCATTTGTCTTATGAATCCTCCTAGACAAAATGACCTAGCTGAGTCCAAAAACGTTTATGGACGTTAACTGATCTGACTTAAATTGTGTTGCCTTTATTACAGAGAGATTTCTCAGAATGATTGTTTGGAAGTGATAGAGGCAGGTGTGTTCTCCAACCTACCCAAGTTACATGAAATGTAAGTAAGAAATGAGAGGAGTTCTCCTCATTATTCTTCACAAAAGCCTTATCATTCTCTTACATTGTTGGGAGGCCCTGGTTCAGTTCTGTCCTCAGATCCAAACACTATCATTCTAAAATGTCAAAGTCAGCCTAAAAGCTACTGTAATTTGTCCCTGTCTGGTGATCTCTAGGTCAGAACCTACCCTGCTCACTGCCTCTCCTGAATTGTAGATTCAAGTGCCTTGTCCTATGACTATAAAAATATACTATCTCATTACTTCATTCTGGATTATTCCCTAAACAAAGCCCCAAATAAGCGCCACACAATATGGCTGAAGCTGGGAATCCTAGTCTAAATGCTATCCAAGCCTGTAGACTTACCATAAAAATGCCACCAAGATACAAAATTACGTAAGTTTTTGTTTTTTCATTTGTAAAATTGGAGTAAAAACCTACACCTCATAAGATTACTGAATAAAGGAAAGTATTAATGTAAATTAAAGTCAGGGTATCAACTGGCATAGAACACTTAAATTCAATGATCTTGGATTCTTCTACTATCCCAATCAAATTTATTTTGTCTAGTGGACAGTCCAGTTTGACAAACACATCAGTACAAAGATTCACTCCTGTTTTATACTAGTTTATACTTACCATAAATTAACTCAGAATCATATAATATCAAGGCCACAAAAGACTTTAGGCATTGGCCAAAAGTTTCCTAAGTGTATTCTATGTACAACTAAGAACCTAGGAAAATATTAAAGTGTTCAAAAAAGAAAAACAGATGCCAGGCACAATGGTACATGCCTAGAAGTCCAGTTACTAGGGAAGCAGAGATCAGGAAGGTCACAGTTCAGGGCCAATCTAGGCAAAAATTTGCAAGACCCCCAACTCAGAAAATAAATCCAGTGTTATGGTATGTGTCTATAATCCCAGCTTCATGGGAGATATAAGTAAGATGATTCTGGTCCAGGCTGGCCTAGAAAAAAGCCCAATATTCTATATGTGAAATAACTAAAGTGAGAAGTACTGGTTGCAGTGGTAAAGTACCTGCCTAGCAAACACCAGACCCTGTGTTCAAACCATAGTACTGCCAAAAAGAAGGAGGAGGAAGAGGGGGGGGGGAGGAGGGGGGGGGAGGAGGAGGAGGAGGAGGACAGGGAGGGGGAGGAGGACAGAGAGAGGGAGGGAGAAGAGGATGGAAGGAGGGTGGGAGGGAAAAGCTGGGGGGGATAAAGGGAGGAAGAAAAAGAGTGGCAAGGTAGGAGAGAGAGAGGGAGGAGGGAAAGGGAAGGGAGAAGGATGCAAAAAAGAAAATATTTTATGTTTATCAAATAAGGAAACACTGCAAGTAAAGTAGCACAGTTACACTTATAGTAGGAAAAGATCTCAAAGTTTTTTACAATGATATACATTTAGAATCTACAGGAAGAATATCATATTAAATATGTCTCAATTGATATTACCAGAAAGGTATCATTAGGAACAGAGAGGTGGTAAGGCTATCTAAAGTTACTCAACAGAATAGGGACATGATCATAAATCTGAGCTCGTTTGTATCTATTTAAATGATTTTCACTGGGCACCAGTGGTTCATACCTATAATCCTAGCTACTTGGAAAACTGAGATCTGAGGATCAAGGTCCAAAGCACACTAGGTCAGGAAAGTCTGCAAAACTTTTATCTCCAATTAACTACCCCTGCAAAAAAAAGCTGAAAATAAGCTGTTCAAATGGTAGAGCTCTAGCCTTGAGCAAAAAAGCTCAGGGACAGAGTCCAAGCCCAGGACCAGCACATTTTTTTTTAAGCATTCGCCAAGTATTTTTAGAGGACAGATACAAAATATTATGGGTGAGGGGAGGATTAAAGAGTTGATAGAAATGACAATTATCCTTACATTTCTCCTCCCTTTGCTTCCTTCCACTCACTCTATTTCCCCACTTCATTCTTCTTCATTGACATTGCCCTGCTAGTCCTTTTCTTCCTCCTTCTCTCTCTCTGCTTGGCTTCTTCCTGCTCTGTATGGGAAAAGGGAATGACCAGGGAGTCTCAGAACCTACAGGGCTTATCAGAGAGATTAACCAAAGTCAGCCAGCTTTTTGGACGTGGTCAGAAAGGCATTTGTCCATGTGGTCCAGTGGGCAGCAGGGCTGATGGGGCAGCCGGTTGATGGCGAGGTGCTCACTCCCACACAACACTGACTATGTTTACAATGAGTAACTGTCTGGTACTTGGATCTAGTTGGCTACAGCTTACTGCTACCTAAAAGCTAATGATTCAGGGAGGAAGTCATTAACAAAAAGTGTCTCTGAAAATATACATTGATCCAGCAAGATAGGGTAAAGACAAGCTCTGTTGGAAATGTGAACATGTTCACCTCCGGACTATTGATCAGGACCCAGCACAGGCCAGAAACATGGGCTACAAGTCACCCCTTCCCATGAGTGGTAAGGGAGCAGCATCCATGTGCTGCATGAAGGGAGTCATGCCTACTCCAGCTACTGTCTGGTGGAATTTCGTGGTTAAAAACAAGTTTTGTTTTACTTTGCCATTTTACCTCTGTTTCTCCAATTATTTTTAGTGCCTCATCCGTTTTCTTTCCCTCACACACTCATCTTCTTTTCACTCTCTTCTATTGTTTTTCATCTACTCTCATATCCAAGCCAAAGGATGAATTCTCTTTATCAACTTCATCTGAAACTCAGTCTCCTCTGACCCTTAGAGGCTTTTTGGGTTAAAGACACAGTCCTGCACAGCTGAAAATGACTCTGGTGAACGGGTCCCAAGAGATGAGTCTTAAATACAGCAGGGTTAAAAGTTAGTTTACACATTTAGTAGAGGAAGAGACACTGCATGCTTACTTAATTTCTGTTGGATGGATGGATGGATGACTAGAACAATGATTTACTGATATACTTTGTAAACCATGAGAAATACTATAGTATTCCTTGTAGTTGAGATCACTTTGCATGTGCCTTCTTTTACAGTAGAATTGAAAAGGCCAACAACCTGCTGTACATCAACCCTGAGGCTTTCCAGAACCTTCCCAACCTCCGATATCTGTAAGAACTCATACATTTGACACCTTCTCTATAAAACTGTTCCATCTTATTTTAGCCCAGTTGCTACTCTGGGAAATTGCTTGTTTGTTGAGAACTGGGGGTAGAGAAATTGAGGTGGAGGTAGGGAAACACTTGGTAGATTTTAGCTTAGCTTAATGAATAAATTCCACTAATACAATTTCATTTTTGTTTTTACTTGCAAAAATAGGAAAAAGGAATGCCATTTGCACCAATGGGATTGTCATGCAGACCTCTCACAGAACAAAGACATAATTTCAAATTAATGAGATCTAGCCAAAATTGCTTCTGTCATTTTTTTAGTTAGTGAACTTGACCTCAAGACATTGATTCTCTTATTTTACATAAAGTACTTTATTTATCTGATAGATTTCAGTGCTTTAGTTCCTAAGTTTTAGTTAACAATAGACATGGTATTCTTTCATGCTAGTTTGAATGTTGTTTGAATGCTCTCATTCTTGTTCAAGGCTGATGTTCTGCCACTTGAGCCACAGCTCTGTTTCCAGCTTTTGCTTGGTTAAGTGGAGATCAGAATCTCACAGACTTTCCTGCCTGGGCTGGCTTTGAACCTTGATCCCCAGATCTCAGCTTCTCAATTAGCTAGGATAACAGGAGTGAGCCACCAATACCAGCTAGACATAATATTTTAGCTCCAACCTTTGAGCCTGCCCTATCAGCAAAATCACTGCTTCCCCCACTCAAATGGCTTTAAAATTAGTTGAGGTCTTGACAAAGACTTGAATATTATGATGATGCTTACAAGATAACGTATGAGGGTTTGAGCTCTGGAGTTAAACTCTCTGGATCTATTAGCTATTTATCACAAGCAAGGACTTAACCTCTCATAGCTTATTTCTTAGAAGAGAATGGAAATAATAATGCATGCCAGCTGCTATTAACAAACTAATGCTGTATAACTAACCACTCCCTAAAGATGTAGGCTTAGGGCAATAGCTATCCATCATTTCTCACCTGTCTATGAGTTGGTCAGCAGAATGGTTCTGCTGATCTGGACTATATTTGCCTGACTTCAGCTAAGCTCACTCATGCATCGTATCTAGTTGGCAGGTCAAGTGGAGGCTGGCCTCTCTGGGTGGTCTCAATGGGAATGACTCAGTTCTAGCAAGTTGGCATAGGCTAGTTTTCACTGTAATAATGAGGTTCCAAGAAAGGTGAGTTAAAGAGGCCAAGACTCTTCAGCACACACCCTGAACTAACACATTGTCTTTTCTGATGCCTTTTATAAGAAAAAAAAAGGTCACAGAATCAGTCTAGATCCAAGAGGTAGAAAAACAGATGCTGCTTCTCCATGAGAGAAGTTCCAGTTCAGCAGATGTGGATATGGGAATAGGTTTCACCACTTCAGCACTCCACTTGAAGTGTATAAAATGTGTTTTGTAGTACCTATCATCATAGACACTCTGTATACATAAGCTACTAATACAATTACGTATCTCTCCCTAAATGTTTGAGTAAGAATTAGTGAGCATGAAGAGGTATCTAGTATCACTTCTTACAAGGACAATCATCCCATAGGATTTGGCTCTCATATTTATAATTTCACTTTTAAATGTAATTAAAATCCTAAAGGTCCTGTTTCTAAATACAATTACAGTGAGGACGAGGACTTCAATATATGAATCTGGGGGGATGAACACATTTCTTTCCCTGTTATTTGTGTTACAGCAGCAGTCCTATAATAGTTCTGTAATCCAACAGTCAGGTGGAGGCAGATGGCAGCAATTTCATATATTCTATGGGATAATGAACTATTTGCTTCAAGGCAAAGAGAAAACACAAAATAAATGAAAGAATCCAGTGGGGAGCAACAGAGTTGAGTTGTTGGCTTTTCTTTCTTTCCTCTCTTTTTGTTTTAGTTTTTTTCTTAAACAGGATAAATGTTTAGCATCTAAGCCACCAATGCAAGAGATTACGGGATGGGGGGGGAGGAGTGGGAGGCGGGGGCGGGCGGGAGGGGGGGGCGGGAAAAAGCGGTTGCTATTTGACTTCAGCATCCTAATGACTGCTCACACATACATAGAAATGTTCTAAAGTTCTCTGTGTTCATGCCATTTCATGCCATTCATTTGATGACACAGAATTCAGGACAACTAGAAATCAGTGCTCTTCATCAATGTCTTCATACCTCACTGAGGAACTTGAAGTGGTTAGCAAAAAATACTCATGAATAAAGAAATCTTCTTTAACTGGAACTATATGCATCAAAGGACTCATCTGGGTAGATTTTTCAAGTCAATATTGTATTTGTAGGCAATATTTCTCTCTTTATTGCTCTGCCTTCTCAGAGCTGACCTTTTGTGTATGAAGATTATCTATTGATCTGTAAATAAGGTCTATGCAATATTCTTTTGCCTGTGCATCCTGTCAGTGAAATTCTCAGGCAGCTGGGTGTTGCACTTTGCTAGTCAATAAACCATAATTCCATTTTAGTAAACAAGTCAAACAGCTGTGTGGACCCCACCCACAACGCCCCACAGAAAACTATCTTATTCAGATGTGGGCCATTAGACTTCCTTAGGATGCCTGCTGATGGCTGCCAGGCCATCTGCTTTCCTCATTAGGGACAATCCCAGAAGATTCTTTTTTTTTTTTTTGGGGGGGGGGGGTGGTCCGGTCGTGGGGCCTGAACTCTGGGCCTGGGCACTGTCCCTCAGCTCCCAGAAGATTCTTTACTGGGATTTTGCTCAGCAATCCAGGCTATTCCTTACCTGGACCTCTGCTAAGTCCCTCTCTCTCATTTCTGACTTGTTTTTCTTTCTTTTTTTTTTTTTTTTTTTTTGTCAGTCTGGGCCTGGGCGCTGTCCCTGCGCTCTTCAGCTCAAGGCTCTACCGTTTGAGCCACAGCGCCACTTCTGGTTTTCTAGTGGTTTATTGGAGATAAGAGTCTCATAGAGTTTCCTGCCCAGGCTGGCTTTGAGCCGTGATCCTCAGATCTCAGCCTCCTGCGCGGCTAGGATTACAGGCATGAGCCACTGGTGCCAGGCCCTGACTTCTTCTTTTATTTGATGAAATAATGCAAGTGGCTCTCCTGGCAGATTGCAAAAGCTAAATCAGTCGGGTGCCAATGGCTCATGCCCATACTCAGGAGGTTAGATCTGAAGTCAGCCCGAGCAAGAAATAAGATCTTAATCTCCAATTAAACACCAAAAAATGAGAAATAGAGCTGTGGCTCAAGTAGTAGAATGATTTAGCTTTGAACAAAAAGCTAAGGGTCAGGGCACAGGTCTTGAGTTCAAGCCCCAGGACTAGCACCAAAAAAAAAAAAGCTAAATCACTTGTTGGAGGACAGGAATTCTAGGGACAGCTCAGGTATCAGGGAAGCACAAAGGCTCCAGTGCACCAGTCTGAGCTCAGCCTTCAGCTTAGTCCCCTTGTTAGCTAGGCAATCTCTAAGATTCCATTTACCTTTTTATAAACTAGGGAGGTTTACATGTTTTATAATGTAGGAATGTTAATATAACTTAGAAAATTCTCCATAAATATTAGCAATTCTTAGAAAATTCCTGGTCTGGTCATTTACTAGCTGAGGTGCTCATACAAAAGACTTTGTTCTCTCCTGTAAGAAATATAGCATAATACTAATGCCTTCCTTTTAAGAATGACATAAGGATTAGATGAGAGAGAGATTCTAAATCTTACATATTCAGGGCATAACACATAATGTTATTCATTTATGATCATGACCATGTGATGATGATGGTGACAATGTATTTTCCTTTTCCATATTTATGAGACTTGTTATTATTCTTGCTTTGGCTTTCTATAGTCTACATAGTTGATAGTCTATAGTCTGGACTAGCTGCTCTGGAACTTGCTATGTAGTCCAGAATGACCTCACACTGTGACCTTCCAGCCTCTTCCTCCTGAGTGCTGGGGTTACAGATATGCACCACCATGTTCAACTAATATTTCTAAGATTTTTTTGAAGGCCTCTTTAACTACTTCTTTTAGACGGGATTCACCAGCTGGCATTCAAACATAGAAATACATCATTGAGTTTCTCAAGGGACCAAGTTATCCTTCCTTACATATTCACACATAACTGGAAAGGTCCCTCCACCCTGTGGAGCCTTTTTTGTTGTCAGTCATGGGGCTTGAACTCTGGGCCTGGGTACTGTGCCTGAGCTCTTCAGCTCAATGCTAGTACTCTACCACTATGAGTCACAGCACCACTTCCAGTTTTCTGGTGGTTAATTGGAGGTAAGAGTCTCATGGGCTTTCCTGGCTGGGCCGGCTTTGACCCACAATCCTCAGATCTCAGCCTCCTGAGTAGCTAGGATTACAGGCATAAGCCACCAGTGTCAGGCTTTAACCTTTCTTTTTAATATTGATTATTCAATACAAGTAGTTCACATCTCCCTTGCCATCCCTATCCAGTTTAATTCTAGTTCTTCACAAGGTCAGCTAGTTGGGTAACTCTTCCCATCTATATGTTGATTTGTAGTTTAATGCTTTTTACATTACTTTATTGCATTAAAACTTCCCAGCAGTCCATAGCACAGACAGAGCACTGTAAGGGTTGACTAACTTGGTTATAGGACTCTTCTGACAGAAACATGCAATGTCCTTACAGAAAGGTGCTGAGTTCTGCTTGCCTGTCTGTGATGACTGGATAAAACCATACTGATCCTCGTTTTTAGAAAGTTATGGCTAGTACACATGTAGAAGAAAGGACTTGTGCTTCTCTAGACTTGTGCCTTATCATTTTAGATGTGAACTGACTGAACAGTAAGAACTCTTTCAGTCAGACAAGCATTCAAAAGTCATTTATTGAAGCAATAACTCCTAGGCTTTCTTGTGACTTTGTGTGTCCAAAATATGACAAGACAGTTATCATAGAGCTGTTATTTTAATTAAGGAGATAACTGATATTGGATGATATCAGGGGTCGGGGGAAGGCTACTATCAAGGAAAGTATAGCAAGGAATAGAGATGGAAAGTAAAGTTTTAGGAAGGGTGCT